TCTGGTATCCATTGGTCGTAAAATGTATACACTGTAATCTCTTTTTAAATAAATTTCTCTTTCTTTGTTTCTCTAGTTTTCTCTGTCCTTCGTTCCTCATTAGACTTATTAGGCCTACTCTCAGTTGTTATTTTTGGGGTTTTGCGTCGACCAAAATGTTCCGCCTGGAATTCATAGGCCTATATTTGTTTCGTGCGATGATAAAATATTTAAGCTTATTTATAGCACTTTGAAACAGGGGCCTAGGGCCTAGGTCTGCTAGCCTAGTCACTAGCCACTAGATCTAACGGTTTTTATTTCCCCAGAGAATTTCCCAAACTTCCCAATTTCCTTCTCAAAGTGATAAGGGCAACATCGGGTTGTTTTCTTGTACACTTTTAGTTCTTGATTCTAGAGCAATTGTTGACGCTCTGGAGGTGGATCATTCTGGGGCCTAGCGGCTCAGGGTGAGAGTTCGAGTTTTGAATGTTGACGGAGACGAAAACGAGGCTCTGAGCCTGGTTGAATGTTTATGTCAGCCATTGTCAACGGATAGCCCCCGTCAGCAGAAGTTGAGTTCAGCAATCGTTGTTCATCTTGTTGACTGGTGCATGTTGCGCCGTCAGACTGATATAGAAGTGTTCAGGATTGGTTTTTCTAAGTGTTTTGCTGCATATTTTCCACGTTGTGTACATTTGTATGTGAACAGCTAGTTGCAAAGTGACGCAAGTAAAACCGGTTCTGAAATCGAAGTCAAGATGGCTTGTGGAGCAACACTAAAACGAACCTTGGAGTTCGACCCTCTTCACAGTCCTTCACAGCCAGGTCCCATCAAAAGAAGGAGATGCATGCCATTGACTATGGCACAGACTACACCGCCAACCAAACTTCATCAACTGACGCCATCGCCATTTTCAGAAGTTACCCCAAAACTAACAAAAGGTAAGACTTCGTACTTTCTTTCTCGTCCTACAAATCCTTTGTTACTTCTCTCTGTTTACTGTTCACATCAGAATAGTATGGTGAATCTTCATCCATGACTCTCCTAGTAAAGGCCTGTTGTAAATCATTGTGAGAAACATGGTATTCACAACTTCATTAGGCTACCAAACATCTCATCTTCATCTTTTCGTTTTCATCATGATCCTTTCCTTTGTTATGTTCCTCCCAAGATTTTCTTCGTGGGTGTTGGCTTGTGTTGGTATCATGTCACCCATGACCTGAACAGTGTCGAGGACACTTGTACAAGCGGATTGCTGGTGGAAAACAACTAAACGCCATTGGCCACTATTTAATTATTTATCGTTACAGCCTTGTTGGACGTCCTTGAGGGATTCCCACTTTTAATCAATCATGGTGGCGACAGGACTGCACGACGGCAGCCTGCCGACTCGGATCATTTTCTTTGCAACTTGCAGACTGTTTGGTTTGGTTGTCTGTGATTGTGCAGCACCCTTTTCCCCGCCCAGATTGATTCTGATGCTACTTCACGTAAACAGAGAAGAAGAAGACTAATAAAGAGTAGGCCTAGATCTAGATTCTAGATCTAATATATTCTAGATTCTACGTCAATTTGGATACGAAAGCAAGTTCAAACAAAAAAGTTTGACACAGGAGTGCAAATGATCAACCGTTTCAGTCCAGAACGCTGCTTTTAGTTTTCTAAGCACAAGAAATTAAACACTTTTACAAGAGACAAGAGATTGGACTCAATAGGACGCTGAGCTGCAAATGAGTAATTAGAGACTGCAAGGTTTGCAAATTAAATGGATACTGTGAGGTGCAAATGCAGTGTACTGGGAGAACCACTGGGAAAGACTCTCATAGAGGGAAGGTAGTAAGGGAAAGAGGTGGGATAAGATAAAGGGGAGGAAGAGGGGCAGGATGGAGGGGTGATGTTATCCTGGAGTTATGAAACTACTGCTGTAAGGACGCAAGGTGCAAACCGCCCCCTACGCAAAATCGTTGCTATTTTTAGAATTGTGATCAGATGACACTGCAGGCATCCCCCCTGTGAGGTCAAACAAGATGGCTGTTACTATTTATCCATCAATGGCGTTTAGTTGTCGTTCTCCAGCTATCCCCGCTTGTGTCGAGGACTGGGAAGTGTGTGCCAAATAAAAAATAAAAATGGTTTCTTGTTTAACTTTTTAGAAATAGTCTTCTGACTAGATCCAGAGGTCTAGTCTAGTACTTTTACTAAGTCTACTAAGTACACGGAAGGAC